ATCGCCGGTGCTGCTTTCGATGTGCTCTCTGTCCATGGTGAACAGTCGCTAGCAGGCGACTAGTCCGTCGAGTATCTGGGCGTTGGAAGACATCGTCTTGGGATGAGTCCGTAGTGTTGGCTAAAGATGAAGCGACCGCTCTCAACATTGCGATGAAGGTTCTGAGTGATAAGCCTGCGGTCTGCGATCATGCTGTATGCTTCCATGCCGAGTATGTCGACATCTACGCGGACGCCAGTCCTACCGGTTTGGGAATCGTGGCGCTGTTTAGTCGACGTGATGAGCAACGACGTGAAGATTCCCAATCCTCTGGTCATGCTTCCCAAGATACTGTTCTGTATCGCAGAGCGAAAATGTGGAAGAATGCACAATATAACTGGCACCAAAACCGTAAGGAAGCATTCGCCTTAGCTGGGGCCTATCTATTCCTCAACTCCGTTGTTGCGTATGTTTCGCCTTTGACGGTGCGGTTCTGGTCCGACTCCCATACAGCCATTTCGTGGGTCACTGGTGGGAGTAAGCTTACATGTGAGTCGATAGAGAGAGTGGCGATCTCACGGCTGATTGATGCGATGGCTGATCTTCGCGAGAGCTGGCATCGTCGTTACGGTCTAGTCCCCGTGACCTATCATCTCGCCGGTAAGAAGAACTCCTCAGCTGACGAGTTGAGTAGGCTCTCGGCGCTATGGAAGGTGCCAACGACCCTGCTGCAGCGCGACTCGATGAGGCAGGAGGATAGCATTCAGCAGGGGGGCAGACCTCCTATCGACAAGCCTTCTGCCATCGATTATGAGCATGCCGAACCAGTTCTTACCTGTGCTTCTTACGATGATCAACTCTTTGCTTTGAGCGCCACAGATGTGTTGGCCCCGCCTGATCGTTATGCCATGTCCGTCGGTCGTCCCGCAAGAACCGAGCTGTTGAAGCTGCAGTGGGGATCGCCTTGCCTGCGCGCTATTTTATCAGCCCTTGGATCCCGTGCACCGGTCGACTGTGATGCTGCCAGAGCAGTCGATCTTCCACGCGACCTTGCTAAGGAGCTGAAGGAGTTCTCGATTGCGGAGGATGGTTTACTTATGAAGCGTATCTCCACAACTCGTGTTCACAATTCTAGAGGATCTCGACTGTGCTACGCTGTGCCTATGAATTCGGATGATGGCAAAGTATATGCGCAGAATCTTGTCTCATCCTACCATTCTACCTCCGGATGTCTGGGTCAAAGGCATTTGCGCTGGTTGGTTAGCCGTACCTTCTACCTGCCCGGTTTGAGATCATTGATCGCTTCGGTATGTCGTACCTGTCCTGATTGTCAGTTCGGGTCTAACCGTCGTTATTATTCTTTGCTGGATTCTGGTAGGACCCTAACTATGGGAGTATCTGCTCCGTGGCAGACGGTATCGGTGGACATCGCTGACATGGTGATGGATCGAACCAATAAGTTCTCCTGCGCATTATTCTTGATTGATCATTACAGTAGCTACTGTTTGGTGCGTCCATTGCCAGATATGAAGGCTCCTACTGTTAGTCGCACGGTGGAGTCTTACATCATGATGTTCGGGAGCATGCTAACACTTCGCAGTGATGCAGGTCCCTGTTTCAGGGGACGCCCTTTTGTTGCCATGCTCAAGAAATATGGTATACGCCATAAGATGACTGGACCTTTTGCCCCATTCTCTAATGGAGCGGTCGAGCGGGCCATATCCTCCATCAAGTTTATCTCTCGTTCGTTGAAGAATAAACGTAATTGGCCCCAATTTTTGCCTCGCGTGCTCTTCCGCCTTAACGCCAAGGCACTGAATCACGTCGAGTTATCTCCCTTCGACATTTTCTTCGGTCGGAGTCTCCGTCTGCCGTTGGAAGTGGCTCTAGAGAACACTGGGGTGGCTGCTGAGGCTCATGCTACTCCTGAATCTGAGGAAGCCAGGAAGGAGACCCGTGACGAGATCGATCATCTGGTATGCGCAGCCTTGCGTATTCGTGATGATGAGGTCAGCACTGCTCGCGGCCACCTGCGCAGAGGCCCTCCAGCGGTTGGTTCTACTGTACTTATTTACGAGCCCGGGGTCGCTGGTAAGGGAGGGACCTATGATCGCCAACCTTATGTCGTTAATGATATTCTTGATGGCACAACCTTGAAACTATCCAAGGTTGGTGAACCATCTTCCACCAAAACTAGTCATTATTTGAATGTCCGTCCGTACTATGGATCATCCGGGGGGCATGTGAGAGATTGAGGATGCTCCATAGTCCGCACGCGCGCACATAATCCGTGACGCGTGGCTTTTCTTTCACTTGTTTATGCGTACATCATGACAGATAGTTGATTTCGTAGCGGCAAATAGCTGCAAATAGGATAAATGGTGAGAGTCAGAGTTTTTCTACTTCATTGAGACCATCATGGCATCGAGTTCTGCAGTCGGGAAAGCACAAATTCCAACAACTATGATGAGGTGACTATGTCGTTATTATGGTATCGTAAGGTTCTCGATGTAAGTCTGTCGTTTCCGAGAGGAAGCAACTCTGGATCGTACCAGGCTCCCTGAAATATTGTGTTACGTAGTGGGTCATCGATTAACAAAGCATCAAGAGAATCGGTCAGTTGAACCGACATACTCGATTGATAAGACTGTTGTATGAGTCGACAAACTCTGCCAGCCTCAGAGTCTATGATGAGGTCCTGGTCTTCATCCGTCAACATGAGGAGGAGCATGGACATTGCGCGACGCACAGTTGAAGGGTACCTGAAGTACCTCATACTGGACTTCTAGGACCAAGAAGACTGATTGGCAGAGTCAGGACCACCGAGTAACTCTACCAACTGTCGAGAGCTCTAACAACTCGTAGGGCGTGACGGTGGCACTTTGTCGATCCCCACGGTGGTGGTTGGTACTGTAGGGCGTGATTGGTCTCAGTGACGTCCGAGAATGATAATGTGGTATTCATCTTTTTCGATTTTTCGGTTACGAGAATCCATCTCCTCCCACTTGTGCCAAAAAAAGTATCCTTCGTAACCTGTATAATCCAATTATAACTTCTTCTGATAACTTCTTCTTCTTCTTCTTCTTGTGTCTGTAGATGGTGGCATGATAATAATAATTACAGTTGTCTTACGTCAACT